CAGTTCAAGAGACACACACTGCTGACAGAAGGAAAAGACACACCATATACTGGGAGAAAATACTTACAAATCCTGGATCTGATAAAGGATTGGTATCCAGAAAATGTAAAGAATTCTTACAGTTCACTCATAAGATACATGGCTCAATTTAAAAATGGGCCAGATTTGAACAGCTGTTTCACCAAAGATACAGCCAACAAGGACGTGAAAAGATGCTCCAAATCTTTAGTGGTCAGGAAAACACAAGTTAAAACTCCAGGGAGATGCCATTTCACATCCACTAGAACGGCTCTAATCAAAGACAGACAACTGCAAGAGTTGGCAAGGCTGTGGAGCAACCGAACGCTCACACACTGCTGACGGGAACGCAGTAGAATGGTAGGGCTACTGCGCAGAAGCTCATCTGTTTCGTAAAACGTTGAACAAACTCTTACCATGCGACAGCCACCTTCTAGGAATCTACTCCAGAGGAATGAAGATCTATGTGCACAAAGACTTGTACATCACAGCAATATTATTTGTAACAGCCACAAACTGGAAACAATCTAAATATTCATCAATTAGTGAAAAAAACGGATGAAGAAAATGTGGCATATCCATGCAGTAGAGTATTATTCAGGAACCATAAAGAAAGAACTGATAAATGCTGCAGCCTAGATGAACCTCAAAAACATTCTAAAGAAGCCAGACACAAAAGACCACAGTTTATATGACTCCATTTATAGGAAATGTCCAGAATAGGCAAATCTATAGAGACAGAATGCATTTGCCTGAGGACGGGGGTGAGAGTGGGGATTAACTGCACACGGGCATGAGGGAATTTTCAAAATGATGAAAATATTCTAAGATGGGACAGTGCTCATGGCTGCACAATTCCATTTACCAAAAATCTTTGAGCACTTAAAATGGGTGAATGTTAAGGTGCATAATGCAAATTACGCCTCAGAAAAACTATTAAAAAATCAGCGATGCGAACTGGAGGAAGAGTAGAGAAGCACGATTAGGCAACCTTTGCATCTGATATACCCAAGTGTCCTCAGGTTCAAGTAACATAGTTGTTATACCTCCTCTATGTGCCTGGTGATGGGTACACGACAAAAGACACTATCTACCAGGTTAAGACAGGCAAACAGGCCGTTCTCTGGTGGGATACAGCGAGGACATGCATACCGATGGGGCACCAGGCTGACCAGAGATGCTTTTCCTGCAGGGGTAACATCTACACTGACACCCGGAAGGACTATTTCAGAGAGGCCAAGTGGGGACAAATGCCAGGTCACAGTGGCCTTCTATGCCATGCTACAGAGTTTGGGTTTTTATCCCGAACTGCAAAGCTCGGAAAAGAGAACAGGGAACCGGAGCTCAGCTCCGTTAGAGAGAAAAACATCTGTGTACTACTAGAGATGAAACGGGGAACAGCAAGTCTGGGCTAATCACTGTGAGAACAGTTTTCAGTTGTACAATGTTATGGCATCATGAGCAGGAGTAGAGAATAGTAGTGCTCACCGTTGGGGTGAAGAGGAGTGGGCTCTGCTGTTGGTTGTGAAGGGAGAGGAAGCCATGAGACCGCAACAAAAGGACATGGGAAGTCAAGCAGATGTGTCTAGCTGAATAAAGCTCACAGCCCACTCTCCATGCATGGGCTCTTTGGTTCTGAGCAAGAGGTGGTAGGTCACAAGGAAAGAGCTGTTCTTACCTTAGAGTCAAATGACCCTTCTCCCACAGCACAAAGCCCGCAGATAATCTGGCTTCCTCTGCTTTGGCACAAAGGGGCTTGCTTCTATAATGCAAGGTCTGTCACAGTACCGGGCAGTGGCCCCGCACACACCGGGCACGAGGCTGGATGGACCAGACACTGCTCCTGTCCAGCGAGCTGGACTGAGTGTGGAAATCTGGTCTCAATTCTTGACAACACTACCAGTTAGCTGATGAATCAGGTCAGCTGGCCCTTCCGAGGCTGTTTCCTTATACTAACATGAACCATGCTAACTACCCGGTGGGGAGTCCTGAGAGGCCCTGGTGAGAATCAACAGTGTTTATGTGTGAAACATGTGCTGGTGGGATGTTATGTGGGAGAGACATACCCTTCCAAAGACTTGAAAAATAAAGCTGTCATTCAGGTATAATCATCACCCGGTGGATAAGACTGACCATAGCTGACTTTGGAAAAGTGTGAATGAAGAGTTTCCTGACATCCCAAACCACAGTAACCAGGGTGTAATCTCAGGAAGGCAGCTCTGGAATGTGGCTGTATTTGGAGAAGTAGAAACTAAACACAAGAGTCGGGTTCTCTCACATTTTGAGGAGCAGACAAACCACCATGGGAATTTGCCTGCACTGGAGTGCCTGAGCTGCACCCCAGCCATAGGTCCCCAAGGAGGGATCTATGAATGAATGTGTGGTTTAAGAATTTTCTAGTGACTTTTATGTGCACCGAAGTTAAGCACCTCTGGCCTAGAGTTTTAGAAAGGAGCTGGACGTTTTGGTTCTAGACGGTCAACAGGCCAGCCGCATTCCATCAGGGAGCTTGTGTTTTAACGGCACTGAGTGAAGAAAAGGGGAAATCCAAGAGGAGTGATTTGGAAAGCAGCAAGTACGTAACATGCATGTTTTTCACCCGAACCCATTCTTATAAAATACACACACGTCTCTCCGAAGACTGCTTTTGCTATACATCTGGCTCCTCTCTTATTTTCACAGGAATATTTTACTTTGTCCAATGTATTTTTTCACTGGAAGGCAATAAAAAGATGATTTACTTCTAATATTTAAAAAGTAAAACAAGAAAGGATAAGAAGATATTAGGAGTGTACTCTTTATTTCTCTTTGGTTTCTTAACACAAAAGACATGCGTTCTATAAATAAAAGGAAGATTTGCTGGGGGACAATGACTTGGGGGGGTGGGAAGAGCAGATTTTCTACCTACTCCCAGCTCTGTGGCCGAGTCAAAAGGCTGGTCTTCAGCTCCCATCCTGGCTTTGATCTCAGGTGAAACCCGGAAGACAAGGCTGTGTGTGTTATCTGGGAAGGGGAATGGCCTAGGACAGCAGTCCTGTGCTCAGAGCTGGTCCACTGAGCACATCTCCCCCACCCGCTGGTTACACCCTTTTCACAGTATCCTTGGGTGAGAACTCTCCTTTTCACAGGGCTCCTGGAAAGGCTTGAACACCAAAGAGCCAGCCCAGCCATTTGCAAACTCCCCCTCAGACTGAGAAGCTGACTGTTGAAGAGTGTGAAAATGTTGGTGTTGGCTCGCTGGTGCTGAGCCCACCCAGATCAAAACACTGGCCTCAGGTACAGCGGTGTAACTTCCACACCAGGAGGTGGGAGTGGACTTAGGAAGTTACTACGAGAGCAGCAGATCGTGAGGGAAATGATCTATCAGCCTCAATGGCAAAATCTGTGCCACCGTCCTGAGGACCTGGGAGGCCCACTTGTTAGCCCACTGACTGATCCTTAACCCCTCCACGACTTGGGCTGGCCAGGACTGTTTCTAGTTCACAGAAGGGCTTATAACAAGACAGGCATGGACACACTTCTCTCCAACAGGAAACACAGACCCCACTGCCTTCTGAGTCTACCTCTGTAGGCAAACCGAGAGGGAGTGAGAAATGCTGGGGCTCCACCATGAGCCCAGGCTCATCTGTATCAGACTGTTGAGTCTTTTAAAATAAAACATAATTTTCAAGTGCTTGTAGCAGAGGCCCAGCTCCTAAGTGGCAGCCAACAAAGGTACTTCCCTCTGGATACATGGCGATTGCACACACTCATAAACCTTGTGGTACTGGGGTGGGAAAGACGTCTCAGGCTCCACACTGTGCCTTTCTGAACACGCTTCCAGGACACCCCAGGCAGGCAGCAAGGGACAGGAGACCAGCCAGGTGGAGAAGGGGGCCCTAAGACCCAGTCTTGCATGAAAGGAACTGTATCCTCTTTGAGTCTGTACTGGAAGCATTTTAGAAAACCAGATTTTGGCAGCAGCAGTTGAAGGACAGCCCCACTGCCCAGTGCACTGGTAACAGAAGTGTCCTCCTGTTCGGGTCCTGCTGTGCGACATTGAGGTCCCGTCCAGGGAGGAGGAAGGAGCATGGAGTCTCTTCAAGAGGTCATTTGCTAATATCAGAGGAAGAAATATAAAATCTGTTCTTTGCAGCAGCAAGAGATTCTTTCGGCCTCTAGTTCTCTGCCATAAAGTCAGCTTTGCTCGAATGTAAAGGCCCACCTTGCTGCGTTCTACTGAGGGCTGGAGGGAGGCCAGGCCCCTGGAATTGGCGAGGGGATGGAGAAGCAGTGGACTGGCAGGGTAGACGAGGTTACTGGACCAAGCCAGCCATGGCTGGTGGAAGGACCATGTCCCTGGTTAGGTTCTAGAGGTACCAACGGTCAATGTACCCTAGAAGCATCACAATGAGGAAAACGATCCAAGAATGACAGATGGGCGAGAATCTGGCCGGACCTGCTGTTTCCTTGCTGGTCAGGTGAGGAATGAAAGTGGGGGTAGGGAATCTGAGTGAGCGCCATGGCGGCCGTGGGAAGTAACCACAGGGGCACCTGGAGCCTCCAGTGACCGACTGGGAACTCCCACCTAGAAGAGTGGCCGGCCGTAATTCAGCCCACTCGCTAAGCCTACGGTTATAAAAAGTCCTCTGATGGCGGGTGTGAATACAAACCCCGTGAGCACCTTGCTAGAGGACCAGTCGAGAGTGCACTGATCCCGGACACGCGAGGGCTCAGAGGCGACCCCGAGTGCCGTGCGAGGCCTCAGGACCCTGGGACCCGAATGTGGGAGCGGACGCCACCTTTCTCATGGTGGGCGGTTTTCCACTGAAACACGTATTCGCCTTTAGTGTCTCTGAACGTTTTCTTCTCCCAAAGAATGTTCACTTAAAAAAAAGGTACTTTTCTTTCCAGTTTCTTTCAAGTGTTTCTTTGTTTCAATTTCCTTCGGTTTCTTTCAAGTATCTTTCTTCTTCTTCTTCTTCTTCTGTTACTCCTCAACAAGATGAAAAGACCTCACTGAAATCCCAAAACTCGACACAGGAAGAGCTTCTGTTCTCCCCGGTTACCCAGCAATGAGGACCAAGTCCTCTGTGCCCTCGGATGGAAGAGGGAGGTGCTCGTGTGCAAGCAGCACGGTGCTGTCATGGCACCACCACAGGCAACGAGGACACCCCGAGCGCGTCCTTCCTCCCCCAGCCGCACCCCAGCTGCCAACAGGCTGGGTGGGTCACTGCAGCCACCCCATTGCAGATTGGCCACACCATGGCTGGAGAGCAGCAGGCAAGGAGGAGCGTCAGATGGCAGGCCTTTTGCGTGGCAGGTGGGAGCTGGGCTTGGATGGAGCCTGTGTACGTGTGGACCAGCAAAGCAGTCCTGTGTCACCAGCTGCGGAACACAGAGGGGCTCTGCCCCACACGGTACACCTTGGTGACCTAGGCTTGAAGGTCCCGAGCGCAGCGCGGTGAGGGAGGATGTAAGCACCTGGAAAAGCTGTACCTCCAGTGAGCTCACATTCACCCCATCTTCTGGTCTCCCCCTCTCCCAAGAGGGCCTGTCCCTGGAAGGGAGTGCCTATGTTTGTACCAGATCCCTACCCCGCCACATCCCCCGCTCTGCCTTAGATGGTGAGGAGAGGGATGCAGCCCACACCAACCCCTCCCTCGTGACATGCCATGGGGGCCATAAACGTCCAGCGGTCTGTCTCTGGGTCATACATCTCCACTGAGCTGAGGTTTGACTGTCCGTCATAGCCCCCCACGGCGTAGAGGCGCCCACAGCTGGCCACCAGGGAGACCCGGCTCCGGCGTGTGTGCATGGGGACGATCAGGCACCACTGGTCGGCCACGGAGCTGTACATCTCCGCGATGCTGAGGAAGCCAGAGCCGTCGTAGCCCCCACAGACGAACATCTTGCTTCCCAGGGAGGCGGCTCCGTGCCGACAGCGCTTGTTGAGCATGCCGGCGGCTGGGTGCCAGGTGGCCGTGTGGTGGTTGTAGTGCTCCACCTGCAGCAGGGAGAGAGGCACGGGTCCGGCAGTTGGAGCCAAAGCTCGGGCCACACGGGGGCTTGCGGCCACAGCGGCCCACACGAGTCAGACTCCAGCAAGAGGCCCGCTTTCCGCAGCGGCACACCTGCTCTCGGGCTGATTGAGGGACCCCGCCTACTCTGACCCCTTCTGTTCTTCATCCCAGGAGACAAAGGCGTTGCCCGAGGATGCACTGCTACAGAGTGGCAGAGGCGCGAGAGCGGGGTCTCCTGAAATCTGTCCAGAGTGCAGTACTGACTGATGCCATGGATCTACCACTAGATGGCGGTTGAGGTTTTTTTTTAAAGAATAAATGCAATTTCCAACAAATAATCCAGAATACGACTATTGGCAAATCCGCACCGTCTATAGCTGAGCTTACTCTGGGCAGGGATTTTGCCAGCTCTCACGCAGCGTTCAGCGGAGAACTGAGCGGGGCGGGGTGAGGGTGGCATGGCCATACCTACCCCTCCTCTGTGCCCCATGGCTCCAGTCTCAGAAGAATCTTCGAGCATGTGGCAGATGGCCTGAAACCTCTTTAGATGACGCGTTGCCCAGTTATGGCAAGGCTGAAGTTTCTTCCAAAGAACTGCCTTTCAAAATTATTCTCAAAGGTGGCAGGGGGGCGGCACCTGAGTGGCTCAGTTGGTTAAGTGTCTGACTCTTGATTTCGGCTTAGGTCATGATCTTAGGGTTGTGAGACTGAGCCTTGTGTTGGGCTCCACACTCAGTGGGGTGTCTGCTTCTCTCCTTCTCCCTCTCCCCCTGCCCCTCACCCCACTTGTGCTCTCTCTCTCCAAAATAAATACATCTTTCTTTAAAAACAAAGTTATTCTCCAAGATGAAGGGAGTGAGTGCCCTTAGCCCCAGGGGAGCCCAGACTCACGCTGCTGAAGATCTGCAGACCGTCGTGGCCACCTGACACATATATCCTGCCCTCAAACACCGTCACCCCAGCAGCACTGCGACTTGAGCTCATCGGGGTCACCACTGTCCACCTGCAGGAAAGAGCCAGAGGAGGGAGCCATGAGATGCAGAGCTGCCGTCCTCCCAGGACAGCTCAGGAGGGGCGGGGCAAACTGTGCAGTGTTCCTTCTCATCCTGGACAATCTCCCCACCTCTGCAGGCACTCAAAATTAGCATGTCCTAAATAAGGCCCCTCTCTCTTACAGACGTGCTCCTACCCGGTCCTGTGGATGGGACCACCGGCCATCTAGTTGTCCTACTCAGATTCAGTGTTTTTATGGCCTCTCTTCTCCCTCATCTTCAACATTCCTGTGGTCACCAAGTCCGCCTGGCCTGCCTTCTAGTCACTGCCTGCTCCAATCCCACTACTGCTGGCCTTGCTTGGGCCTCCCCCCGGGACAGCCTGCCGCAGCCTCTGCACAGGTCACCTGGCTTTCAGACCCTGCCCATCCCGACCTCGTGCGGCACACCCCTCAGGGGGCTCCTCACCGTTTCCTCCAAGGCAGAGTCCGAGTTCCCTATGCAGTTCTTTATCTCTCAGGCCTCATCTATTTCTACTTTCACCTCCTGCCATGGGCCATCCACACTGGCTCCTCACGAGCACTTTCCTTCTTCTGGGCCTCTCCTCGTGCTGTCTCCCTGCCTACGGTGCACATTTCCCACTATCTGTGATGGGTCACCTCTCAGAAGTCATCCCTGCCACCCTGCCTCTCCCCGCCAGCCGTGGTAAAGATGAAGGTGCTCCCCACCCTACACCCAAGAGCTCCAGACAGAGGGCCCCAGGGTAGGAAAATCACGATGTACCCGTGGCCCCAGAGGACTGGCTGCTCCTTAAGCATCTCAGACACCCAGCTTGATACACAGTCAGTTGGTTAAGTGAATGGAATGTTGGCTGAAAAGCATTCTGATGAATCCATTCAATGAACTGGCTTATGAGAAGATTCAAATACTGAAATGAAAAAGTTGGGCTAACCTTGCCAGCTGTTTTCCAAAAAGTATTCCACAAAATAAGATGGTGACAAGCATTATATCACCGGAGAATTTTTCAGTCTTTAAAATGCTACTATGGGGCGCCTGGGTGGCTCAGTTGGTTAAGCGACTGCCTTCGGCTCAGGTTGTGATCCTGGAGTCCCGGGATTAAGTCCCACATCGGGCTCCCTGCTCAGCAGGGAGTCTGCTTCTCCCTCTGACCCTCTTCCCTCTCGTGCTCTCTATCTCTCATTCTCTCTCTCTCAAATAAATAAATAAAATCTTTAAAAAAATAATAAAAAAAAAATAAAATGCTACTATGTTTGATGGAAATTAAGAACTCTGGCAGTACGTACATCAATGTCTTCCAAGCTTACCCGACCACGTAACATTTCTTGCCCCTCTAAATCACATCCTACCCAAATCATACCTCTCTTACTTTGGAAAGCGTTGTTCATTTATTTCTCATCCCTTTCCACCTGCATACCCATTAAAGCAGGCTGATTTAACAAAGAGGTACAGAGCATTAAATAAACATCTCCAACTACCTAGGTGTCAGACTACTATTTATTTTTAAAATTTATCCAATCCTTCATCCACTGAACCAAAAGTTATTAAATACCTATTATACACAAGGTACGACAGGGGCTGAAACGGCGAGTAAGATGCTCTCTATCCTTGAGAAGCTTAAATAAAACACTGCCGTTCTCATTCTCATACTGTCTGTTTAACCAGCTCCAGTTTTCCCAGGGGAGCTGGAGTCCTTACTTGTCTGTCTCGGGTGAGTAGGTCTCCACAGAGCTGAGAGAAGAGTTGCCGTCATAGCCCCCACAGACGTAGATCTGTCCATCCAGCACGACCGTCCCCATGGCGCTGAAAAAGACAGAGCTGTCATGCAGACGGGCCTCAGACCTCCCAGGCCAGCCTTGCACGCTCCCTAGGAGATCCACCTGACCACCAGCTGCCTCTTTCTAGAGCAGACCCAAGCCCCACGTGTGAGACTAAGTGTAAAAGTGAGGAGAAAACAGCTGCCCTTCAGTGCCCCCGGCCGGCGTTCCCTCGGGGGGGGCCCCTCTCCGCCCTGGCTGTGTCTGAAATGCTCACCTTCCACCTGGCTGTGCTCAAGGTGTCATTACGTCAAAGTTCTCTCTCTCCTGCTCACAAAGCCGTCCTGGACCCCTCAGCAAGAATCAGTCCCTCCTGGCCCCACGCTGCCGGAGCAGCTTCTTTATCCCAGCACTTGTCGTCGTCGTGGTCACTCATTCACCCCTCGGATCCCATGAGACACTCAGGAGGAGGCGTGCCATCCTGGGCCCTAGATCCACAGTGCCGAGCGAGCCGAAGCTCCTGCCCATGGGGGCTTGTTCTGGCGCCTGGGGGTGTTGGGAAGCCACCTGTCGCCTCGTAACAAGTGGGGACCTCCTGGAAGACAGGGGTCTTCCTCCATGTGACTCTGACCATGCTTCGTGTTGTGCTTTGTACGGATTTGTTGTGTTAGCCTGATTTCCCTATTTAATTCACTGTGAAGTTTGACAGATGTCTTTTCATGACAGATGTGGCTTGAGGGCCCCTACTTCGCTCCGTGGGTGATGCTATGTTCCCGCTGTGCACTGATGGAGGTCCTCTGCGCTTGCCATTTGCCCCCCTCACCCCACCCACCAAGGAAGCAGCACCATCTTCGTGGCACAGATGAGCAGCTGCGGCTGGGGAGGTTGGGTCCTTCTCCGGGCTGCCCGAGAGGCAGGCCTTGGATTTAAATGAGACGAGCCCATTCCCATGCTGCCCACCGTGCCCCCCTCTCCTCAGATCAAAGACCCCACGGTCTGGCGTAATCATACAATCTGTTCTACACCATGCCTCATGAGAAATTAAAAATGCCTGCCAAGTCTGCCCAATTCACTGTTCTCAAATTTGATGCTGAAGATTCAAAATGAATCTGGGTGGCTGACAAACAGGAAAATAAAATACACCAGACTTACTGCCACCTTTCAAATGTACACAGCAAACCAAACTGATCCGCGCAATGTCCCTTCGAGGGAAACCGTAACAGATCCCCTCAACTGGCCCAGAAGAGGAAAAGGACTTTGGCCTCAGGCAAGGACTGTGGGAAGACCACAAATTCACCAGACACTGTCACTATCCTTCCAGAAGTGGACAGAAGTAACAACACAGGAGTTCAACAACAATACGAGACAGAAGAGATGCCACAAAACTGAGTGAGGTTAACTATCAACCAAGCGGTAAAGGCCAGTGTGAAGAGGGGAGGGGCCTGGCATGGAACACTGCAGGCGAGGGGAAGGATGATGGCAGGAAGGAGTTTGTCACCACGGGCATGACAGAGAGCCATGTGGGACGGCAGGAGAGAAGTGACTCAGAACATTGTTTGGCAGCCTGTAATTTCAAAGGGATGAAATGGAGCTGGCTCCATGCTACTAATAACAGGGCATTAACCACAGTGAGGGAAAGGGGTGCCCAGAGGACTTTCCTCCCAGACAACACTCCAAACTCTGTGACATCAAAGCAAGGAAGTTGCCCAGAGCAGACACCCCAGGAAGAACAACGGGTTACAGTGAAAGCAAAAAGGGCACTCATGGCTGGAGAAATGGAGTAATGAGTCATCCGAGGCCACAGAAGGCTGCAAGGCGCCCAAGGAGCAGAAAAGGGAAGCTCTGAGGTAGGGAGAGGGGGAGGAAGGAACCACAAGACTGTTAGCTCAGGGAAGAGCAGATCATGTATACAAATTCTTTTCTTCCCAAACGAACCTACTGTGACCCTTTGTGAATCTGGTCTTATTGGTACATGCAAAGGCAGACTCCTCCCGGCCCGAGGCCACACGCTAACACTGCAGAACGTGGTACGTGTGCCTCCTGGCCTGACACTTCTTCTTGCTCGCCACACAGGCAGTCGCTTGATCTTACACACAGAAAACCCAGAGCGGGGCCAGACAAAGGGGCCTATCAGGCAAATGCTTGGGCCACAGAATTTACAAAGCAGAAAGGCCCTCGAAGAGCATCTGCCCCAGTGGTTTTCAAACTGCCCCTTTCAAAAACAACTCATGTAACTTTCCCCCTAAAGTTGGGCATCTGTCAAGGAAGCTCAATTCGTGAGAGAGAAATGCAGAACTGTTTTGGTTATAAGGGTACGGACCACTTCCTCTCCTCTGTCAGCCCCGGAAGAGAAAGCTGAGTGCCACTCGAAACTGCTGATCCAGGGTGGCCCTACTGAGGGCAGAAGAAGAGAAGACCTTGTCCAGTGATCCCCCCCGCTCCAGAGCCCAGCCATGCACATGCTCCACATGTCTGACGGAAGGGAAGAAGCCGCCTGCCCCTTCAGCACTGAGAAGGCTGAATGGAGCTGCCATTCGGATGCCCTCTAACTCTTCTTCAGGAAATCTGAGCAGGCAAGGGATGGAGGAGACAAGTATCTGAGTGTATTAAGAGACATAAACTTGGTCCACCTATGTGCTCACACCTGGCGGGGGGGGTGGTGACTGAAGTGAAGCATGTTGCTATGGCTCACATGCTCCCAGGGTGGCAGAAGCACGTGTGTGGCAGAGATCCGGGGGGTGGGGTGGGGGTGGGGAAGAGAGTATAAAGGACAACACTTCTCATGTCCTTTCATCACTAATAAAGTTAAATCCTCCTTATTCTTCAAGTTTCAACTTTAATCCCACCTCTTCCCTGAAATCTTCCAGACGTTTCCATCCAGTTTCTTTCCCTTCTAGAATCTTCCATAACATACGTTTTCCATTCTTATCTGATACTTTAACAATACAACTTCCACATGTCCATGTCTCATCTCCCTAAGCTCCTCAAAGGACAAGGCAAGGACTTTACTTTTGAGCAGACGGGGCTGAGCTCCCCGGAGTGGCAGTGGCTGGCCTGGCTGCAGGAAATTCCCAGGCTGGCTTGTGTTTTATATTATTATGTGCCCCTGCCTGTCTAGCATGGCACTCCCCAGATGCTCGGTGTGTATGCTCAGGCTGCACAAGTGGCTTCCAGAATACCTTCTCTTGCTATTCATGCTCCGCACTCTGGTCCACGTGTCCGTCTCTGGGTTGTAGACCTCCACAGTGCTCAGCCGTAGCTGGCCGTCATACCCCCCGATGGCATAGAGAAGCCCGTTCACCACAGCCACACCGACGCGGCTGCGGGCTGTTGTCATGGGATGGCACTTCTCCCAGCGATTGGCGATGGGGTCGAACACTTCCACCACATTCAGGGAATCACCTGCATAAAAATTTGCTACTCAAATTAAAACAAATGAGACCATGTGTTTAGATCACAGCTGTTGGGCATTAATTAAATGGAATGTTCGACTTGACTCTATCAGTTCTTCCCACAGAAATACTCAAGCCAGATGGGCCCACTAAGACGTTTCAGCCGTGCTAACCTCAAACTGAATTCTTCAAGGAAAATCAGAATCAGACAGGAGGCATTCACTTTCTAGAGGGCAGTTTTAAACTGCAATGAGGTATGCCACCTGCTTAAGGCCAAAGTCGAAGGGAGATGGACACACTGTTTCCCCAGTGCAGGAGACATGCCCACAGGGAAGGGCATGGGTCCCCCCGCCGACTTTCACTTACTAGCGTGTGACCCTGGGCAAGGTGCTTTGTATCCCCATCTTCTGTTCTCACATGTGACATGGAGATAATCTCTATGGCAGAGTTATCGTCAGGATTAAATGACAGAATAGGCAAAGCACCTAGCATAGTTCTAGAACACACTAAGTGCTCAATAAATAGTAGTTATAGTAGCCAGGAATGATGATTCCAACCCTACCATTTACAACAGGGTTTTTTTTTTTGGATCAAATGAAATAATCCCCCCTCCCTGTTTTATTCTATTGTGGGGCACTTCGCACCTACCACACTTCAGTGTTTACTAGCTGAGGACACCCCCTTTCCAGGACACATGGTTAACAAGTATATGGTAAACCGACTGGTAAACTGACCCATCTCTCATTAAGCTTCAATTAAAAATGAAACTGCCCAGGACTGCCCACCACCTGCCCCCCTCCATGAGCCTGGACTGACCCAGAGAAAAGGGTGGCCTTCATGTGGGAGGTGACTCCGCCCTTTGCCACTATGCCACCAAGATTCAGGAGTCCACACTGCCTTCCCCATGAAATCTCCACTGCCCTGCAGTGGTGCCTGGGTGGGCAGAGGGCCTCATGAGCTTGCCTGAAAACTTGGCTGGGTAAGAGCTGCCGAGAACATGCCAACTCCAAAGCACGTGTGCACCGCGTGGGAGGCAGCAGGTGGAGAGAAAGCGGTATTATGGATAGTGGTGACCGTGTATTTGGAGAATTTTCCTTCTTATGGTGACAGACATACAGTCTAACCCCAGAGATCCATATGGCCAAATGTGATTAGCCTGGTAACAGCTGGGTCCTGGACTGCATTCTACCCAGGGATGGTATTTAGCTCTGATATTCTGACTTGATGGTATTCATACCTGACATGCTTTCACTGCATAGCATAATAGCTGTATCAAATCAAGAGGGACCAGGGTGTGACACACAAAGGAGGGGACCAGAGGACCAGGCTAGGTTGTTTGGTGCCTTTTTATCCACAAAGTCCCAGGCAGCGCCCTGCAAAGGGGAGCTGCAAGATACCTGCTGAGTTGAGGCCCCCCACGGCATAGATAAGGCCCGTGATGGACGTGCAGCAGCGAGGCCGAGTTCTGAAAGCCGGCAGGTGGGGCCGGCGCTCCGGCATGAGGTGATAGTCCTTTGCTTCGTCTACCAGGTCCCTGGAATAAGGTGTCACATGTTACGACAGGAGGTATTTCTCCACATGGTCTACATTTGTATTTCCGAGTCTGGTTACCCCACCCCCAACTGGAAGGGAAACATGGGAGGAGAAGCCTTCTGGAAGGTTTGGTCTTGAACCCAAGTGAGTCCAGGGGGAACCACACACAGCTACTGAAACATGCTCAGAATCAGAGAGGCAGATGAGCAGAGCCCACCTCAGCGAGAGTAATCAGAATGAGTATCTTCTAATAGGCACACACGTAGCAGGAGGAGAACAGGGTGGTGGTACAACAGCTGGTGTTAGGGAGGTTCGACAAGCAGACTGCACCCTGTCACCACTGAGACCCAGCTCTACCTTCCTATCCATCTGGCCCACACCCTGCAATGCACCATTCCTCACCCAGACTCTGGCAGCAGAAGCTGACTGCTGCTGACGGATGGCCCTGCCTCCAGTCCTGCCTCTCCAGTCCTCCAATCCACCCTCCACTCTACAGCCCAAGCTGTCTAAGAACCTTTGATAGCTACCCATTGCCTACAGAATGAAGTTCAAACTCCAAAAGCCCCCTTGAGACTGCTTGTCACGGGGTCCCCCTACCTGCAGCCACACCTCCACCCCCTCCTGCCACACACCTTCATACGGCTCACACACAACCACTGACTTCCTCTGAACCTGCTGTGAATATGGCAAGCCGTGTGGAGGAAGGTGAACATTTTCCTTTGCTATTCTACTTTTATAATGATCCTCCTATATGGCTACCGCCTTCTGAGCTGTTTTGGGAGCTCTGCTGTGCCACGTCATCACCGATTTACCCTGGGTAAAAGTTTTCCATGCTGGTAAACATGTCCCCCCTTGCCCATCACTGTGGATGGGCCCAAACCCACCTGAGGCCAGTTTGACTGACCAATGTTTACTGGAGAGGACAAGGAGCCCCAGGGAGTCACCACTAAGTCAGCTCCTGGAGATGCTAGGAAATCCTCAGGGAGTGTAGGGGAGGAAGCCCCTTCTGCCTCAATGCTCCCTCATGGCACATTTCTTTGCCCAAGGGGTCAGACTCGGGCTCTTTCAGGCTCTAGACACAAGGCAGATCAATCTGCGTGCTATGAATTAGGACTGACCACTCCAAATCCTTCTGCCCCTGAGCTGGAACACAAACAGCCTAAGTGGCCAAGTTCTCTTCTCTGCCTGCCCCCTCCCCACCACCCCCGCAGCATCCTGTGCAGGCTGGCCCTTGCTCACCTGCATTTGTGGCAGGAACGCACCAGGTCATCCTGCTGCACACGGTCTGACAGGAACTGGGGCCGGCAGAGGGGCAGGCGGATATTGGACAACAGCTCGGGCAGGCAGGGCCCCCTCTGCTCCCGGTCGTATCTGACCCAGGCCAACGCAGCTTCAAAGACCTGCCATGGCAGAGAGTGCAAGCCGTGTAGTTACTCCTCGCTCCCAGGGGCCATGTCCCCAGGCCCCCCAGTCTCGATGCCTCCACTCCCTATACTGAGGCAGTCCCTCAGGCCCATACATCTTTCCTCCTACTTGTCTCCTGAAGTCACTGCCTTCTGCTTCCCCAAGCTGCCCCATTTGGCCCAGCCTCTTGAAAGGCAAGCCTCAGTGACTGTAACAGCTTCCTGGCTTTCATCACGTCCTCCTAGTGAAAAGCTGCACATGGTTCCTTACTCCTTTGTGCATTTCCCCACACTGTGGGGAAGAGAAAGCTGAGTGCCACTCCTGAGTACACTCCTGCTTCACGGCAGGCCAGGACTCCACACTGCAAGCATCCCAAGCTGCTCTGCCTGGGGCCTTGGATAGGTTTCCCAGCGACTGGACCAGTGGAGGCCCTGCCGCAGAGGAGCTCCCGGCGTCTGCAGGGCCAGGTCCGAGCGTCTCACCCCCGCACCAGAGCCCTTCACTGTCCAGCCCTGGCCACCCTCTGCTCCAAGTAATGTCTCCTCACGGTCCTCTTCATGTGTCTGTGCCACACCTCTGCTGATCAAAGGGATCGCCCTTTGCTCCCCCCTGACTGCTAACACCCTGCACTCTCATTTATTCACGCTCTTCTTGGCCACCCCTGGGAAGAGGTCTTCTTTGTCCTTCGAGGACCCTAGTCATTCAAAGGCTTCACTTCTTCCATCAGTTTCAGTCTGCCGGTGCTGACCACCACCTCCAGTCCTTTCCCCTCAGTAACTGATGCCAACGGGCCTTGGACGCTGCTCCCTCTCTCCCAACCTCGCGCTCAGGGCCCCTCTGGCCCGCCTCCTCCCTGCCGTCTCACCCAGCATGGGTTCCGCGGGTTCTGAGGTGGGTGCCCTCAGCGCCCATGCTGTGCACCTTCCTCCCTTAATCACGCCCACCTCGAAAAGTCTCTACCCTGGTGAGGTCCAGCTCTGTAAGTTCACCCCCACCTGCACTCTGCACCTGTGCCAGCATATGCAGCTGACAGAGCTGGCTGGTCCTTTCTTCTCTCTTTTTAGTAATTTCTACACCCAACATGGGGCTCAGACTCACAACCCCAAGATCGAGTCACATGCTCCTCCGACTGAGCCAGCCAGGCATCCCCTGGTGGGTCCATTCCAACTTTGTGGTCGCTAATCTCATCAGGCCCTGCTTCCCACCAAGCCCCTCTTCGTTTCCTTGGTATCATCCATTTCCTCTCCCGCTCCCAGAGGTCTGGCTCACGACTTTTCATCTCTCCTCACATTTCTCACCCTCCTCCCGATCCTCATTCTCAGGTAAGAAAATAGACACATGGCAGAAGAGAACGTCAGTATAATCTGCCAGCACGTCCCTTCCCACCCTGCGCCTCCCCATGCCCCTGGCTGCGGAGGTTCTCCCTCCTGTGGGGATGGACACGAGTGGCTGGTGCTCCCAGCAGGGACACCCCGTGCCCTCAAGCCGGCCTCTCGCTTCCTCCAGGACGTCATGTCAGCAGCCACTCTCCCTCTCCTCCTGCATCACTGACTCTTCCCTCTCTTCTGGAAAATTTCCACCAGTAGTCAAATGTACTGCCATTTTTCTCACCTTAAAAAACAAACCAGCCAACCCCTTCCAACTTCATACTCCTCCCCAGTGATTGCCCCAGTGCTCTGCTCTCCTTTAGAATAAGACTCTTTGAAAGCGTTATCTATGCTAATTTCCAGTTCGAGGCAGCATTACTTCTAATAGTAAATACTAGAAATCGCCTGACATCTAAGAATAAGGGGTGCAATGTTGATAAAATCCACTGAATGTAAGACACTGAAATGGATACAAAGTTCTCATGAAACATGCACATAGTATAATGAAACAAACCCATAATAAACAAGCTGCACACACATGGTCTTCATGAAAAAAAAAAAAATAATAGAAAACAAGGATTAAAAAGAACAGGAGCCCCCGAGTCCTCTGCAGACGGCTACTGTGCTCTACAGACCTGCTCCTCTGACTTTACATTCAGCTCATCCCGAGACACCAGCTCGAGCACGTCTTCCAAGGGCAGGGCCAGGAATTCTTCCGACATGGACACCTCCACAAAGTGCTGGTGGATGAAGCTGTTGGCCGCGTCGTACAGCACAGCGCACATCATGGTCTCAGCAAACTGGCGGACACCCAGGCAATTTTTTGGGTGGAGACTTTTGGCATAAGAAAAGATGAAAAGAAAAAATGTAGAGAAGAATGGTATGTTTGGTCATTCTCGGGTTGGTTCTAGGGAGAGCTACAGAATGGAGAAAACCCTGCTTTGCTCTCAGCTTGGCTGCAAACTCCGTGCATGATCCCAGGTGTGCTGCTCAGGGACTCAATTGTGAAGGTTTAAAATGAAGACACTGCCTGTTGGACCTAGTGTTCAGTGTGTCTAGATGGGATGAGTTCTCTGGCAAGTCTGGGAAGCAGCTCTGAGGACAGAAGAATAGGAGAACACATACTGTTTGCTTTCCTTCAGCCGTTGGCATTCTTGGTCAAATATCTACCTGTTCCCCACACGGGCACTGAAGCTGTAGAATGAGAGTTTAAACCATGCGGAGAGATGACTTCTCTAACATCAGGACCCTTACGCTTCATCTTCTGTAAACAGCAAGAAGTGCGGTTAGACTCTATGGTCTAACTGGACCCCCAGGAACACCAGCGGTAGCTACCACTCACTCAGCACCATCAGTGCGTCCGATACTTTGCCAGCGAGAATCTTTTCAACAGCACTGCAGAGTAGTCATTACTTCCATTTTTAGATGGAAAACGGAGGCTCAGAGAAACTAAGACACGTGCTCCCAGCCCTCTACAAGCCAAGTGGTGGTGTGGAGACTGAACCCCGTGTGCGTTCCCATGACCCGGAGGCAGACCTGCCCTCCTTGGGGCCGTCTGGGTAAATCCGGGCCCTGCGTCATACCAGGTGACATGGGAGGGTTCCTCAAGTGTCCGTAACAGCCTCACCTGGAAAAAGGTGAGGACAAGAGCTAGCCAGCTCCTACAGCTGTGGCCACGATTAAGCAAGAATGTGGCAAAAGCACTCAGCATGGTGCCTGGCGTGAAGTCAGCTGCTGTCTTAATTTTCATTGTGGTCGTTTTTCTTACTACTATTGCATCTGACAAAATCTCAAATGCACCGAACGTGGTTCTGAAATCTTGGTGACAGCAAGAGATTCTGGGGTTGGGGCTTTTCTGCTTTTCTTATTTTGACTTTGTGACTGATAATCCGTGGAGGGAGAAGGTGTTTATCAGATGGTTTCCATCAGATGGATTCCATCCTTGCCCAGGTTTTCTTTATTAGACTGCTTGCTTTCCTTCCCTGCCATGTTGTTTAAAGTTATAGGCAGAGTTATACTCGCTAGCCAACAATCACCGCTGTCCCCCAGCAGCAGACCTGAAGGGCAGAGTCTCTCAGGAGCCTGCCTTTGGGATAATCTAAATTCCACAAGCTGTTGCCTCCCTTCCAGCCTGAATAGGCTCTGTCCATGGCTTTGGAAATCTCTGTGCATTTCCACAAAGGCCAGGGAAGCATGAGCACTGACTAACACTTAGGCAAGGCCGCATGGCCAGTCAGGAACACAGCGCTCAAGGTCAGAATGTCGGCTCAGTCATCAAATACCACCTTTCTCCTGGAGCACTTACAGGGACTGAATGAGACTTGTTTATAGGCCTTTACACACATATGGCAGATATGAGGCTCAACCTTCCCTGGGCCTCTACACCATGTGATTCACCGATTCCAACTGCAAAGACATCAACTCAAGATGCCACGGACTGGGAAATGGATAGAGTCCAAAGACGTGGGAAAGGATGGTCAATATACTGCCTGGAGCACATTCCCATCTGCTGGCTCTCAGGTAAGGACTCCTGTACCTCGCCTTTGGCTGTCTTTGACTGGCTTGGCATAATAAGGAGAGTAAAACACACCTTCAACTGAACTGGGCTTCTGCGTCGAAGAGGATGGGATGTGGGAAGCCTGCTTGTGAGGCAGCCGGTGGGGAAGGAGGAGGGAGGTCTACCATGCAGGGGAGGGCCCCGTTCAGGAGACGAGCCAGAGGAAGATAAGAGGGAAGATGAACCCAAAGGGCAGAGATAGACCCACATCTTCCATTAGCCACCTCACAACTGGCAACCACCTTCTTGACTTTGTCAGCAGGGAGGCCACAATAAGATGTAATGCTTTATCAGATGCAGGAAGCAGTGACCCGAAGTAAGTCAGTCACTGGCTTGGTTCACTGATGTATCTGATGTTCTGATTCAATTCTGAGAAAAGAGTTTTGGAAAATACATAGCTCCAGTGCTCACCTAAAAACAAGGAGGCCCATACATCTGAAGGCTTGGAAAGGGGCCACAAGAAAAATATCAACCCCAACCTCATGGAAAACTCTGAGAGCTTTACAGCTTCTCTGTGCTCTGGGAAGTCCTGTCTTTTCCACTAATGCTCAGAATGGTTTCTCTCAAGTCATTAGTAATCACAGCTTGACAACAAACGGCCCACGTGCTTGTCTTTGAATACGGGCACATGGGAAGGGGGCAGGTGGGACCCCCTAACACACTCCGCAGCCAGGCTCAGGGAGAACCACTCCAACGAAGAGAGGCAGTGATGGTAACTACTGGAAAGAAAACGGAAAGCAGGTCAACCCTCTGGGGCCTGTGGGAAGGAATAAAGACAGGAATAAGGTGTGAAGTGAGGCTCAGAAGGGATCTTGCAGGGCTGAATGGGAGAATGTCAAGGACAGACTCATAATGTCAGGCTTTGTGCTTAAGTGCGTCTTCCCAAAATGTCACTGATGCATGTAAAAACTCCACTGGTCTAAAAATCACTTTTCTAAGCATCTTTTGCGTGACACTCCTTTGTAACAGAGGCTAGGTCCAGTATTGAGAGTGATGACCTCAAAAGCCCCTAGGTGGAGCTGTTGTCCCCTTGTGAGAGTGGCCAACTTAATCCTTTCCAGAATGCCTACTTAATCATTCTGAGCTCTGTGGAGACAGAGATAAACCAAGTCTGGTCTGTATCCTTAAGCAGCTCACAAGTGAGTAGGATAGCCAGTGTGCCTCACATCCCCCCACATGCATCCCTCCAGCCTGACCCAGAAGGCATCCCAGCAGAGGGTCAAGCCAGGCTCTGGGGCTACACTGTCCTTATGTGGTCTCATCTGTAAAACCTGAAATAGGACCTACGATGAAACCACTCACCCTGCACCCAGCAGCGTGCCCTGCGTGCTAAGCATCATTACCATGGTTATTAAGACTAGCTGCACACACAGCAGTGCTCAGTGATGTCCATGAGCGCCACGGGGGCAGGATGGGGACAGCAGGTGGGGTCCACAGAGCTGCTGAGTGAGCTGGATTTGTGGAGCCGGAATGGGAGAGGGAGAGGTCAGCTCTAAGAGGAAATGAGGTTCAGCAGGGCAGATCTGAGACAGGAAGAATGCTGGTCTTCAGGCCAGGGACCTTGTGATCGCAGTAGCTCAGATGGAGACCAGGTCTCGTAGAGCACCACAGACATTGTGTGGAGCCCAGCACTAACGTGCACCCCCAAGTCTCTAGTGCTTAAGAGGCAGCTTTGATCTTATGGCTAAGAGCTCCCCTTCTTGAGGGGGAGAAAGAGCCCTCTTATCAGCTCAGTCATCAAAGGGGCATTGCTGAACGCTGGACCTAGGTAGGGATATACTCCACGGTCCGTACCCTAAGAGAGCATACAGTGATTGCTTCCAGGGGACTGAGGCGGGACACAGAGTTCCAGGAGGTGAAATTTGGGTGGGCCCCTAAAGAGTGGAAGGAAAAAGAAGTCAAGACATTCAAGGAGGGGAAAGGATCTACACAAAGATGGAGACAGGCTATGGAACAGAGAGGCAGTACGGAATCCGTCGGTTTGGTGGGAACAGTCAGCTAAGTTAGCACTGGTCAAACTGGAGGACCAGAAGAGGTACGTGTCAGGCCAGGAGAGAGCACAGGCAGAGGTCTGTAAATCTGTTCCTCAAAGGTTCACCCCAAAGAACTGGGCACCACTCAACAGCGATTTGAAGAGTCAGCTCCCTGGCTCACTCCCTTCATAAAATTCCGTATGCCCAGACTGAGCGAATCGGCAGGGGGTTCCACGAATGACCTGGGCGCGCTCCCCGCCATGGCTGAGTCCATGGCCTCACCGTTCTCGAAGGAATGTGCAGCAGGCGTCCTTGATGCTCTGCAGCTGCAGGAAGCTCGCCCCCATCAGCAACGACTGCACGTTCTGCTGGTCAATGGCAAGGTGGCCGTTGTAGGCAAAGTTGATCAGAGCCTCCAGGGCGCTAGAGAAAGGAGAGAAAAGATCTGCTTCAGAGACTCTGGCCCTCACTGAGCTGACATGCCTACCTGGGGAATGCGTGGGCCCTGCTCTAAAACCCATTTAGCCCGTGCCCTTCGAGAATCTGCATGACAGGAATAATGACTTCACCAGAGTTGAAGAGTCATTCTACTTCTTAAGCTGTCTTTATTGCCCAAATAATCTTATTACAGAAAATTTTAAAAAGAGAAAGCAAGTACCCACAATCTCACTACTAAATGAGTCAAGAGTGGTTACTTTTTGGTTCATTTTTAGTCCCTATTCGCCTGCATGAGTAAATGGATACGGAGATAATCACATAATACTTACTGAGTCCTTTCCCACGTTGCTACACTGTCTTCATGTTTATCATTTTTAGTGGCTGCTATATAGTATTTCAACAGGCAAGCATGCCGTAATTTATTTCCTTTATTGGTAGGCCTCATAGCTAATAACATCTTATTGCCATCATAAATAGCATTTTTATTATTTCTTTGGGATACATTTCCAGAATGAGATGCCGACAAATTTTTCTGCCTTTCAATTCCCACTGGGAAAGAACTCCAAGTTCTGTCTCAGGGCTGCATGTGGTCTGGCCCCTCTCCGGCTCTCTGACCTCATCATCTTCCACTCTTAGCCCTCATTCTATCCCAACATGCCGAACACACCCTCACTGCAGGGCCTTTTTGTACTGTCGGCTCCGCTTGGATGGCTCTGTCACCAGACGGCTCACTCCCTCACTTCGATTAAGGTCTCAGCTCAAATGTCACCTCATCACAGAGGCCTTCCCTGATCACCCTGGAATGACACAGACTCCCCACCGTCGCTCACTTTACTGTTCTCGCCTCGCTTTCACTTGCCAGCCCTATCATGCACGTGTGTGGTTATGGTTATGGCCAGATCCCCACAACTAGAAAGCTGGCACAATAAGAGGCGCTGTTTTTTTAGTGCTACAGCTCAGTGCCTCCGGCAGCACACATGACAGGTGCTGTCTACCTCTGTTAAACGAAGCACTTGGACTGTGCATGGCAATGAGCACAGCTCCTTCAGATACAGACCTCAGAGAAGAGAGTGTACAAGTGCCCTTGCAGACCCACTTCTGTGTCTTTCCTTATAAGTAGCTGGCCTAAGATTTCTGCCTTGCAGTGGGTATATAAATCCTCTCCACGTGCTGGGGCAGATCACTCTCAATCATCCAGAGGGTACTACGGTTTCCTGGCTCCTTTACCCCTCGTTTCCACCACTCTAAGATTAAGAAGGTAGGCAACAAATGACAGGTTACTGGGTGAGGTTGCCAACTCACTGCTTTGTTTACTGTTTCTCCTCCAACAAGAACGTCATTGCCCCGAGTCACCCTGTGTGTCTCATTTGCTACTGTATTCCCAGCCCTCAGAACAGTGCCACACACATAGCAGGGGCACAGTGGACCCTTGGATACAGCCTAGGTTATAAACATGCAGCCTCAGTTCACAGACTTGTAGCAAAATCAAACGTAGAATCTTTCACATAAACATCCTTCTCCCTTTCAAGGCCCAAAAAGGCATACTATGGAATATGTTTATACAAAGTCTTCATATAGTCATTAGGAAGGTATTTCCACGAAGAGGGTCCAGTAGTAAGTGACTTTACATGTCAGGACAACGTTAAGGAAATGCCTGAATGACATGATTTCAGCAGTTATGGTACTGCCTCCTGCCCCTAAAATTCATCTAGGGCAGAATTTTGCAGCCTCAGCAGGACTGACATTTGAGACCAGTAACTGCTAGGGAAGGCTGTCTTGGACACTGAAAGGCATTTAGATGGGATAACTTTTGGGCTTGCCCTCTTTGGGCTTCAATTTTCTCAACCATCCAATAACCACGATTTTGCCCATCTTCTGAATCTGTGTTGTCTCATGTAGTAGCTACCAGCCACACATGGCTATTTAAAATTATGTTAAAATTAATGAAAATCAAGTAAAATGTAGAATTCAGTTCCTTAATCCCACCAGTTAAAATTCAAGTGCTCAGTAGCTGGCTACCTTTCTGGAGAGTACAAACACAACATTCCCATCAGTGCAGAAGTTCGAACAGATGACACTGTTCTAGACTGTCAGGGAGAGTACGGAATGAAGACACTTATTTGGAAAACTATTTTGCCGGCTATAATGGTTAGCACAGAAAAGTGCAGAGGATACCATTTTACCACCTTTGTACCCAGTCCTCATAAAAAATAGCTTGGACGCTAGTTCCTATTAAATGTGTTACTTTAATAGTGCTGTGTCCCGCCACGGGCCTGCCAACAGCACCACGCACGGGGCTGAAGCTGCGCCTGGAAACCCGCAGACTGAGAGACCCAGTGGAGGAATTGAGTACCTGGGGTCCATTCCTTGCATTACAATCTCATCCTGCTTGCACTCCATCATGTCATTTGTAAACATAGCGTGGAAGTACGGGATTGAGGCTGCTAAGACGATCCGGTGGGCACTGAATTTGTGGTCCCCAATCTGTGGGCAAAGTGAAATACAAAGAGAGATACTGAGGAAGGCAAATACAAAACCCAACCGGCCCCTTCCCCGGCTTAAGCCTCTGCCCGTTGAAATGGTACTGGAGGCATCCCGGTACATGACAGGTTTTATCATGGAGACCCTGAGAGCTTTAATTCCACATACTCAGTTGCAGTGGAAGAATGCAAACAACAGTTTCATGAGGCATTAAAATGGTTAAAAAAAAAATGGAAGCCCGAATGCTTCCAGTGGTAATTTTTACTTCTATGGCAGTCGCACTGCCCTGTTCCCGACTCCCCGCCAACTCAGAGACCTGACTTTCTAACACATTATCCTGATCCCAGTTTTACTGAAGGCAGATGGAAGAGACAAACTGTCCAAGAACCCTAGAGCTCCTGACAGTAGGCTCCTCAAGAAGAGTAGACACACATACAGGAAGAGATAAGGAGAAACAAAACCAGACTTGAATAGGAGAACACGTGGGGATGAAGGACAGAGCAGGCATGGTGGGCACGAGTGTTGGGGGGTGTCTGGGGGCAACAACCGGGCTATGGTAGGCCTTGTGGAGCCCAGAGCTCCTCTTAGGAAAATGACCCCGGCAGCAAGTAGCTCAAACGACTGGTACTGTGTACTGCTAGTGCTCTGCATGGCCCACAGGGCTCAGGTCACACAGGGACGGAGGCAGACTCTCTCCAACTTGTATCGAACCCTCCTGACAGACACATCCTTAGCCTGGGGAGTCCTATAACGTGCTTTCCAACTATCTGCCAAAAGGATAGTCCTTTTAACAAGCTTTGCCATTTATAGCTTCTAGCCACATAAACATTTCCACTTAAGAACTTTCTAGGCTTCAGAAAGAACAAAACAGTCTCCCCCCACCCCGCAAGTTCCACATTAGTGAAATGCCAGAGCATCTCACTACCTGATGCTCTTCTTGGTCACATTTACTCAAGGATTCTAGTTCAGGTTCTGTCACTAAGGCCTCTTTTTCACCACTTCAGGTTTATTGTCTGTAAGCTGTCCTTCAAGATCATAGAATCTTCCAAATACCAAAGGATCAATGAGGATCGACTCAGATTTTAGGAGTTCCTCACATAATCCATGTGTGGCTCTTCTACTGGTGTTGGGGACGTTAAATGGCTGCGTGCTTTGGAGGTTTTCATAATTGAAAAAAAAAATCACAGTAAAACATGGAACTATTTCTTAAGTTGTTCTACAAAGTTTTTAAAACCAGCAGTTCCTGGTTCCCCCATTTCTGCTCTCAGGGGCCGCCTCTTTCTTCTGGTATTTATCTCCATTCCTTTTCCTTTTTTTAAAGATTTATTTATTTATTTTAGAGAGAAGTGAGCATGTGTGGGGGGAGGAGGGGGAAGGAAGGCAAAGAGGGAGAGGGAAAGAATCCTCAAGCAGACTCCCTGCTGATTGCAGAGCTTGATCCCATGACCCTGAGATCATGACTTGAGCCAAAATCAAGAGTTTGGATGCTTAACCAACTGGCCACTCACATATCCCTATCTCCACCTTTCTAAGCAATGTGCCTATAATAGTTCTTGAATTTTCACTTTTAGTTATTACTCGTGGTAGCACATCTCCAAACAACCCCCAATGATCCCTGCCTCCTGGCATTAACCCCCTTGTGCAGTCCTCTCCCACACTGTCTCAGGGTTGGTCTGTGTGGCTGACAGAATACAACAGAAGTGATGGTGTCACTTGAATGTATGTCACATTCATGGCTGGGTCATAAAGGGCACTGCACATTCCTTTTACTGTCTCTCCCAGATCACTCACTCTTGGGAGAGCCAGATAACAACATATCCTGAGGAGAGGTGTATGAAAAGGAACTGAGGCTTCTTCCTACCACTATCTGAATGAGCCTGGAAGAGGGCCCTCAGCTCCAGTCAAGCCTTCAGATGAACGCAGCTCAAGGTGGCACTGGACTGCAACCTCATGACAGATCTCTAAGCTACTTTTTTTTTTAAGATTTTATTTATTTGACAGAGAGAGACACAACAAGAGAGGGAACACAAGCAGGGGGAGTGGCAGAGGGAGAAGCAGGCTTCCTGCTGAGCAGGGAGCCCAATGTGGGGCTCGATCCCAGGACCCTGGGATCATGACCTGAGCCGAAGGCAGACACTTAACGACTGAGCCACCCAGGCGCCCCTCTCTAAGCTACTTCTGCATTCCGAAGCTGTGAGATAATAAATATTTATTATTTTAAGTCACTAAGTTTTGGGGTAATTTGTTAGACAGCAAAAGATAACTATTATATTACCTACTTAATTCCTGTGATGGAAGATCAGGATTTTGTTCTGACACTCTCTTCACATACAACTCCACTTACTTTCTCCATCCTTCCATTATAATTATGTCCACTCTCGGTTAAATTAAGAGTTGCATTATTAGGTCTATGTGAATATTACATGTAGCCAAGCCATGATGTATGCTATGATTACATTTCCTTTCTTGTGTAATTCTGCCCCCCACCCCCGCCCCGGAGATAA